AGAAACATGAGAGAAATGGAGGTACGTCTGGACCCCCTCAACCCCCAAGTCGTCAAGGAATGTCACTAATTGTGAAACCAGCTGCCTGATTCACCCAGATGGCGAGCCCAGCAGACCACCCCGTCTGAATCGGATTTCGCGCGACCAAGAACATCTCACGCATCTTCCAAAAGCATCATGGACCTTGCTCCCATGTCCAAGTGCAAATCATCGGACCAACCCAAATACACCCCCATTGTGGTGCCTGCCGTACTCCCACCGCAGCCCACCACTGAGCAAAGTATTGTATCACCGACATCCATCAATTCTACCGGCTCAGGTACCCCTACGATCACTGGGTTTGACAAAAGTGGTTCTGGCAAACCATCAAGCGTGCGCCGCGTTTCTGATGCGACCGATGTCTCACGCAGGGTCTCCAGACCAGTGAGTGCTTCGGCTCGTAACAGCAGTGCACGTTTGCAAGCACGCCCTGCTGTGGCCCCTAAAGGAGACCAGACCTCCGATTTGATCGATTTTATCCGCGAGGGACCGCCGACTCCCGGTGCTCACCGGATTTCACGTGCGGTGGCGCCATTCCGCGACACTATGGACTCAGACGAATTGCAGGCTCTAGAGTCGGGGCGTCCGAGTATGCAAGGATCGCTGACGGCGAATACACTAACTTCCGTTGGCTCCCATACCGGCCTTCTGGAGACAGGTCTTCGGTCAAGCACTCCCACCACACATAGCAAGGAGATTTCGGAAGATATGCGACCGAAACGAACGCAGCGTCGCGTACGAGACCCCTATGCAATTGACTCGGATGATGACGACCTTGAAGATCTTCTCGAACCCGCGAAACCAAAGCGCGATGAGGAAAGTCTGATGGATTTCTTGCGAAACGTACCACCCCCTGCGTCTGCAGCTCCACCGCAACCTTTGACTACGAATATGGGTACCCGGCGGGGCTCATCTGCTGGCTTTGCTGGTGCTTCATCTATGAAGACCCTGCTCACTCGGACCACGGCTACCGAGAAGAACGTCCTCGCACAACCTTCAAGGAGCTCCCCCCGCCAGGCGTCCGATACTTATATGACTGGGGCAAACAACAACTATACGACTAAATCTGGTGGATCCATGAATGCTGCCTACGGCTTACCGTCTGTTTCTCAGAGGCAAACCGAGACTAGTGCGCTAGCCGACTTTCTGAGGAATACTGGCCCTCCTGAGCCTCCAGTTACCAGACCTACGCAAACCGCTCCCCCAACTAAGTCGAAGGAATCAGGCTTCTCGCGCCTTTTCGCACGTCGAAAGAAGATCGAGGTCTGATTCATGCCACCGTGACTTTCTTTTTTCTTTGAGGACAGCTGTTGCTTTCTCTGTGACCCTGAACACGACATGCTATCACTGGCAAATGACCTGTCTTTCTGAGCGTTGTGACTTTTGATGATGATACCTCTACCTTCAATTCTTTACCATCTCCTGTCCATAATGACACTATTCCTAACATTGGAACTATTCCTTGTTCTATCTTTTCACATCTCCATACCCACGTTGGCCATGTTCTGTTCGAACAATACCACCCCTCGCTTGCAGCGATTCTCTTTTCCACTTTTGGTTGATTCCCCTGTGTTCTCAGCTTTTCTTCTTCTTTTCGTGTCAATGACCCCAAGGGCCACTAATCCCAATCCAAAATCTTGCAATCTGGGATATACATCCTATGGTATCACTTTTGGTTCGAGCCATCTTTACATCCTACTTTGTATCGAGGAATAGGGCACCTTTGCCGATACTGTACATAGTAACATAATGTAGTTGCCTGACACATTTGAATAGTGTCTGCGACCAGGGATGAAGACTTTCGTATACTGTCACTACTTGCAGCCATATCCATATCGCATGAAGTATGAGTACGATGCTGCGGCCAAGATATCCATACTAGCACTTAACGTAGCCAAAGGTACTGGTAGGCATTGTTGATTCAACCTGAAACGGGAAGGGGAGCCGATAACCGGATCAATGTTATGCCGGCCTTGCCCGGTCCCCTGGAGCGCGGCGTGGCATCAATAACACTGGCCGCTTCCGAGCTTCGTTGTCAATTTCCTAGACTTTACTGTCGGCCGCTGCGACAATCGCCGTTAACAATGGCGGCAACTCACTTTACAATGAGGACCCTTCTTGGCCTTCTATTTCTTCTTTTTGTTCAACTCTCTTCCGCTCTCAAGTTTGACCTGTCTGCCGTCAGTGGAAAGAATGAACGGTGTATCCGCAACTTCGTCTTCAAGGACCAGCTGGTTGTAGTCACTGCCATTGTCAGCGGCAACAAGGGTGACGGACAAGTGGTCAACATGCACGTACGTGGCAATAATCCCGGAGCTATCTCTGTGACGTCGGATCGAGCAAGCATCGAACTCGTCGTGATTCTCGAGGGGCCTTCGAAGGACTGGGGCCGGGACACGCAATCAGCTAACTATATATGCTGGGAATAGATCAAGGATGCCCTGGGCAATGAGCACGGTCGTCCCAAGGACATTGCCGGAGAGACTCGCCAGGCCTTCACTGCCCCTGCCGACACTGCCTTTGATGTTTGCTTCGACAACCAGCTGACCACCCGCCGTACGTCTCACCTCGCTCTCCCCTGAAGACTTCCGAAAGAACGTGCCCAGTGGAATGCATAACTAATCATCTTTGGGGGGTGATCGTACAGACGCTATTCCCAACCCATACAAGTCGATCGAGCTCGACGTCGAGATCGGTGCCGACGCCCGCGACTGGTCCAGCATCCAGGTTCAGGAGAAGCTCAAGCCCGTCGAGACCGACCTCCGTCGCATCGAGGAGATGGTCGCGGAGATCGTTAGCGAGATGGAATACCTGCGCGCCCGTGAGCAGAAGCTGCGCGACACCAACGAGAGCACGAACGAGCGTGTCAAGTGGTTCGCTTTCGGCACTATGGGCATGTTGGTTGGATTGGGCGCTTGGCAGGTGGTCTATCTGCGGGCCTACTTCAGGTATGTTCCTTTCTCTTTTCTCTTGCTTCATTGCGTATATGGGGATCTGGATTCGAGCAAGGGTTGGCTAAGCCTTTCATTCTTTCTGCGTACAGATCCAAGCACCTTATCTAGATTTCTTTCTTGTAGCTTGGAGTGTATTTTGTGGGGATGGAGGAGGTTACAGTTTGATGCTTCTCTACTTGTCATGACCAATATATGGACTTTCTTCCAATTGCATTCATATACAGCTTCTTGATCGTTTGTAGTCTATGACAGCCGTGGTGGGTGAGTCTCACTTGGTGATTATCAACAGTAGACATGACACTTAGCATCCAAACCTCCTAGGATCAGCGAATAGGATACCGTTTCTCTCCAACAGCTCCCACAGTTTCCCAATGAGAAGAGAATTCTTGACTGAAGTCATGATAGCATCAGAGGCGAAAGCTGCCACTTTTCGAAATCGGCAGGTCGCGGTTGGTGCATCGTGCCGTGCAAACACAGCAAACAGCTGCATCTGCGGATGATGTCAACCCGGTCTTTCTTCGCCGGATCAATTGCTCAATTACCGACGGACTTCCCCAGAGTCCGATCAAAAAATCATTATCCTCAGGACTTTCTCTTTGCTCCCAGTAACTCATTCGGGATATTAACACATAGCCACGATGTCCGCATCCAGACTTGTCCACCGCTTTGTGCGGCCATCCGCATCTTCCCTCTCGTTTACCACAACGACCACTTTTGCTCGTCGCTCTTTCGGCAACTCGGCTGTTCGTCTCAACGGCGATAGCGCCGTGAAGGATCGCGCGCCCTCGACCGCGCCCCAGCACCGCGAGAACCAGATCAACAAGCCCCACAACCCCAATGTCCCCAACACGACCTCTACGATGACCAAGGACTTCCCCAAGGTGGGCGCCAAGTCCGCGCCGCCGGACCTCGTGGGCGCCGTCGACCCGAACTACAAGCCGGCGGACCCGTACCCCGGCAAGGTCGAGCATTTCACCGGAGGGCGCGAGGAGACCGGGGCCCAGAAGCCGGAGCTGGGTGTCGGCGAGATGGAGGGTATCACTTTCCGGGTTGAGCCTCTCCGCCGATCGGGCGAGGATGTAACGACCATGCGCGCTCGGTTGTTGTGTATGTGTTTTTCCCTTGCCTCTTTACTGGCATCACTATTCATATCACCTCTTGTGCGGGCTTGCTAGTTCGAACCCCGAGAGCGTGTCGTGTCGGAGATATTTCGCTCATTGACATTGGGATTTGCAAACAGATCAGAGCCGAAAGCGCGGCATCCTCGAGTCCGACCTGCTGCTGTCGACCTTCGCCGACGTCTACTTGGGCAAGATGGACCAGGCGCAGCTGCAGGAATACGACCGCTTCCTCGACGAGAACGACTGGGATATCTACTACTGGGCTACGCAGGACCCCCCGGCCGATGGCGGGGAGCAGTCCCCTTCGTCCACGGCCCAGGGGGCCCAGGATACCGTCACCGAGACCTGGAAGCAGACTGGAGCCAAGAGCGGCGAGTGGGCGCAGACCGTGGGCGCCTACAAGGCTGCCTACCGGCCCGTGCCGTCGCGGTGGAAGGAGTCGAAGGTGCTGGAGCTGCTCCGGGCGCATGTGCGCGATAACAGCGCCACGGGCTTCCATGCGGCCAAGAGTAAGAAGACCGGGGGTGCTGGGTTGGGAAGGATGCCGAATGTGCAGGTGTTTAACTAGAGGAGGGGGAGGCTCGCGTGTACTATATAAAATGAAGGTGTGTTGGGACTGATATTCTGAGTATGTATATTACGTTGGTAGTCGGAATTGAACACTGCATGTAAACTGGACTTTGACTGGACCGGGGAATATTGGAGACCGGGGTAGATCGATCGTCGACGGGAGCGGAGGATGCATAACTAACAGGCTGGAGGGTTATGCCGGGGTGAGTCAGCAACAGGGCCACGTGACTCGCTTGTCCTGGCTTAGGGTTGGGCGAGGCGCACAACAACCAGTCGGGCGGGCACGCTAGTTAGGGCTCAGGCGGGCACGCTGTCTCCTCCATCCTCGAAACAGTTGCTGTGTGCATTTTTACTTCCCAGCCCAGAGTCAAGGACAATTGCTCCGCCCGCGTTCATCCCTCTCTCCTCATCGTCACCCAGACTCCAACATGGCTGAGCAACTGGTCCTCCGCGGCACCCTCGAGGGTCACAATGGCTGGGTTACCTCCCTTGCCACCTCTCTGGAGAAGTAAGGGCATACCAAACACACATACCGAAGAAGAAAAACTACCACACAACCTCAACCGAAGTGCGATTTTTGTTTGCGAGTTTTGCGAGGAATGGTGCAGGGCGATGGAACAATTTTATATATGCTGCGCCCCAAAAAGCCACAAAAGAAAGACCGGAGGTTTGGAGTGGTATATATAGGTTGTTTGATTGTCCGCAACAGGAATCATGAAATGATTGCAACAAAATCGCACTAGGTTGAGAGAAGAAACAAATGATAGTTTGATATGGAAAACATGAGTTCTGACATTTTCTTGTTCTTGTGACTTCTAGCCCCAACATGCTGCTCTCCGCCAGTCGCGACAAGACCCTGATCATCTGGAACCTTACTCGCGATGAGCAGGCCTACGGTTACCCCAAGCGCAGCCTTGAGGGCCACTCTCACATCGTCTCTGACTGTGTATGCTACCGATCTCCGTTCCATCCTCCAACCATCCGTGTCCAACCCGAAGGCCAAGCGACTGCCAATCCCGGCTGTTCGGGATCAGGGAAAGGGTCAGAAACGAAAGAAATAAGGAAAGATGGGCTGACCATGTGCGGGCTTCGTTTGTATAGGTGATCTCCTCCGACGGTGCCTACGCTCTGTCCTCCTCCTGGGACAAGACCCTCCGCCTGTGGGAGCTCTCCACCGGTGAGACCACCCGCAAGTTCGTCGGCCACACCAACGACGTTCTCTCCGTCTCCTTCTCTGCCGACAACCGCCAGATTGTCTCCGCTTCCCGTGACCGCTCCATCAAGCTCTGGAACACCCTCGGTGACTGCAAGTTCACCATCACCGACAAGGGTCACTCCGAGTGGGTTTCCTGCGTTCGCTTCAGCCCCAACCCCCAGAACCCCGTCATCGTCTCCGCCGGCTGGGACAAGCTCGTCAAGGTACGTTCGATTGTTCGGTTTGCATCGGTTAATTTTTTTCTTTCTTCGATTCGTCCAGAGGATGTTTGCATATCTACGTATTTGCTACTTCAGAGCCTTCTGGCCATGAGACAAACAATCACCCAATGCCTGATGGACAATCGACTTGTTTTTTGCTGTTTGTGGTTGCGAGAATGGTGGAATCGGAGTTTTGGTTCATCCAATGCCTGATCTTTGGAATGAAGACTAACCCGCAATCCATCAAATAGGTTTGGGAGCTCGCTTCCTGCCGTCTCCAGACCGACCACATCGGTCACACCGGTTACATCAACACCGTTACCATCTCCCCCGATGGATCCCTCTGCGCCTCCGGTGGCAAGGACGGTACCACCATGCTCTGGGATCTCAACGAGTCCAAGCACCTCTACTCCCTCCAGGCCGGTGACGAGATCCACGCCCTCGTCTTCTCCCCCAACCGCTACTGGCTGTGCGCTGCTACCGCCAGCAGCATCACCATCTTCGACCTCGAGAAGAAGAGCAAGGTTGACGAGCTCAAGCCCGAGTTCATCGAGAAGGGCAAGAAGAGCCGCGAGCCCGAGTGCATCAGCTTGGCCTGGAGCGCTGATGGCCAGACTCTGTTCGCTGGTTACACTGACAACAAGATCCGTGCCTGGGGTGTCATGTCGCGGGCATAAATATGCTCCAACCCAACCCTTAAAGCTTAATTAGGATTTTGGTCGGGGCGGAAAAGTGTGCGAGGAGAGAGAGAGAGAGACAATATCAACTTGAACTCATGTTTGTTATTTTTTTTTTCTTTTTTTTTTCCCAAGATCAAAAATAAATAAGGGCAGGCATTGGTTTGGGATGTATGAGCCATGAGCAAATGATAAAAAAAGCACTCTGGGTTTTTCTTCCGCCTGGTGTTTCTAAATCACACCCAAAACTCACCCTATCCCCGCCCTCTATACCCACCCCGTTCATTCGGGCTTCTTTCCCCCGGGTTATCGTTTGTCTCTCTTCACCATGTCTACCTCCTACTTGATTCGTGGTGTTCAAAAAACCACGGATTGCCGGGGAGATTCTTGTGAAGGATGAGAGGTGGATTGTTCGAATACCATTCAAAATATGTTAAAAACTTATATCTCTGCCCCCCTACTCCTGAGGTCTGATGTAATCGGTCTCGTAGTTGGTTCTAGACTTGGTTGGCTTGATTCGCACTCTCTCGATGAAGTCATAGTCCAGTCAGCTAGAGCAATCGGTCTACTGTCTAGATCGTCGCGCGCCTATTTCGACTCGCACCACTACGTATCCTAACTACCAGCTAGCTACACGGATTTCCAAAATAGGAAGCGGCAGAAAGGGCACGGAGCTCGGGGCGGTCAGAGCTGGAACCTACTAGGTACCCTCGTTCGCCTCAGGTTTCGTAGGGTTACCTCCAAAGACATGCTGTACGTTTGGTAGATGCACATACATGCACCGGGTCCAGACTATCAGAGTCGAATAATGTACATTTTCTTATTTTTAAGGCGAGATGCGTATGCAAGGCCACAGGTACAGTACATGGATGGCCTAGCTATGGCATTCACTGCGTCTGGATCTCCTTCAGCGCTGCCTTGACCCCCTCCAGCAGGCCGGGCTCGTCCAGGCGCTGCGCGATGCTCAGTGCGTTTTTGTAGTGCTCCCTGGCGACGGCCGGCTTCTTCTCCAGCCGCGCCAGCTCGCCCAGACTCTGCAGCGCGGCCACACAGGCCTCGTTGCATTCCGCCTCCTGGCCCTGGGGGTCGATCTTGCCCGCGACGGCGCGGGCCTGGTCGAGCCACTGGCGGGCCTGCGCGATCACCTGCTCGCGCGGGGCCCGCATCCCGGCGGTCGGCTTGGGGGCCGCGGCGATCTCGCCCATGGTGGCGCCGATCGAGGCCATCAGGAACGGCTGCTTGCACGTCGGGGTGTCGCCCTCCGCGGCCTTCATCACGTCGCTGGCCCGGATGAACAGCGGCAGGCAGAGGTCGTACTTGCCCTGGGTGAAGTACAGGTTGGCCAGGTCCTTGAGGGCGATGGCGATCTCCTCGAGGTTCATCCAGCCATCGTCCTCGTCGTTAGCCTCGGCGTTTGTTGTTGTTGGTGTTGCCTTTGTTTGGTTCCCCACGGGGAGGCCCAGGGCCACCCGACGGTTCATCTCGGTCAGGCAGAGCTCCACGGCTTGCCGCTGGTTCTCCTCCGCCTTCTCCAAATCCTGCATGTAGTCGCTCTCGTATAGCTCGGCCAGCTTCATCGACATACCGACGCACTTCTTGAGCACCTTGCTCTGCTGGCGGTCCTCCCACGCCTGGAACTCGGCCTCCTTGGCTGGATCCGGGGTACTTGCGCCGGGTTGCTCGTCGTCCCGTTTCACAGCATCCTTCTCACCGACGTCCTCGCCCGTCGCCTGGCGGATCCGCTTCTCCACTGCCTCCTTGCTGGCGTCGTTGGGATCCACGGGCGTAGCCATCGTCGGCTTCTGCGGGAGCGACCGTGTCCGCCGCGTCCGATACACCCAGGCCAGCGCCCCGGCCCGCGTCTGCTCCAGCACCTTCACCGCCGCCGAGACCAACCCGGCCTTCTCCAGCATATGCGACACCTGCAGGTGGACCCCCAGGATCTCGTCCGAGTACTGGTGCAGCCCCATCTCGAGTCCGATGTGGATCGCGTCCTTGTACGCCGCCATCGCCTTCTGCGGTTGCAGGTCCACGTCCGTGTAGTAGACCGCCGTGCGCAGCCGCTCCGCCATCGGCGGCGGGAACTTGCTGTACTGCGGCGCGACCTGCGTCACCTCGACGTAGGCGATGTAGGCGAACAGGCAGGTGGCGCTGAAGACGGAGAGCAGGGCCAAGGGGAGTACGATCGGGTTCTTGCGCCAGATGTCCTTGCGGGCTTTGCGGAACCCCAGCTTCCATTTTTGGGCCGTGGTGAGTGTGCGCCGAGCTGGTTGGGTGGCGAGGCTTGTGGATTGCAGGGTGAGGGGGGTCGTCGTCGTCGTCGTGGCCGCCAGGCGCGGTCGGGAGGAGATGCGTGTTGTTGAGAAGGGATGGCGAGCATTCTGGGGTGTGAGGGGGCGGATTCGGAGGGCGCTGGTGGCGGCGCGCCGGGAGAGCGTGCTGAGCATTGGGGCGGTTCGTCTTCAGTATCTGTGTTGGTGTTTGATAGCAACGGAGTTGTTTTGATGAGATGAGTCAGACTTTCCGTGGGTCTCCTTAATTGATGATATTTGAGGAGAGGAAGCGTGGATGTGAAAGAAGGAAGATGGTTGTATGGAGGACAAGCAGCGGAGCGGAGGTTGTCGGCGGGACGATTTTGTATGACCTAAAGCGGAATGGTCCGAGCTTCTCCTCCGCCGCCCTGCGCTGAATGACATGACGTCGCAGCTACCGTCTTTCTTCAAGCTAGCATCTCTACTTGCAATTATCGCATAATCTTCGATCTTCGATCTACTCGAGGGCAAATCTAACACGGGCATAATGTGTGGACGATATGCACTAGGCGTGGTACGTGACCTCAATACACCCTGCCACCCCTACCTCTACTCCATCTATACATTTATACTAGTCCCGAGCAAATGAGTATTCGGTCCAAGATGAGCTAACACCCCTCTCCCCAAATGCAAAAGCGCATGAATTTCGTTCAGCGCCGTCTCCAAGAACAGGGCATGCCCGTCGACGAAGTCCCGGACGACGACGAGGTGCGCGAAACATATAATTTCGCGCCGGGCAACAATGGCGCGGTGTACCGCGTGGACACAGCATCCACTAGCGTAGAAGAGCACGAGCACGAGCAGCAGCATGAGCCACCAGAGCACGACGACAACGAGACCCCTACTAACCCCCAACAAGACCCCACCACCACCCACCCGCCAAGTCCTAATAAGCAGAAAGTCAGCAACCGCCCCCGCTACAAAATCCAAAGTATGCGATGGGGCCTGATCCCGTTCTGGACGAAGCGCAAGCCCGACTACGGGTCGCTGATGCGCACGATCAACTGCCGGGATGACTCGCTGCTCGAGGACCGCGGGATGTGGACGTCGATGAAGCGCAAGAAGCGCTGCGTCGTCGTCTGTCAGGGGTTCTTTGAGTGGTTGAAGAAGGGACCGGGAGGGAAAGAGAAGGTGCCGCATTTTGTGCGGCGGAGGGATGGGGATCTGATGTGTTTTGCTGGGTTGTGGGATTGTGTGAGGTATGAAGGTGAGTCTCTTGTCTGCTTTTTGTTGCAGGAGCCCCCGGGTTGCGGGGGGGGGGGGGAGGGGTTGTATGTGGTTTTTTGGAGCTAATGCTAATGCGAACGGGAGAGGGGAAAGGGTCGGATGAAGAGCTCTATACGTTTACGATCATTACAACATCCTCGAATCCGTACCTCAGGTTTCTACATGATCGGATGCCTGTGATTCTCGAGCCCAACAGTGTGGAGATGAGCCGGTGGCTGGATCCGGGCCGGACGACGTGGTCGAAGGAATTGCAAGCCATGTTGAAGCCGTACGAGGGCGAGTTGGAGTGTTATCAGGTGCCGAAGGAGGTTGGGAAGGTGGGGAACAACTCCCCGGACTTCATCGTGCCGGTGAGCAGTAAGGAGAACAAGAGCAATATTGCCAATTTCTTCGCCAATGCCAAAAAGGCTGCGCCGGAGAGTGGTGATGCACCGTCGAAAGAGGATTCGGACGACGAAACCGTCAAGGATGAACCGGACCATCGGGACACGGTAGACGCTGAGTGGACCGAGGACAATGCTCCGCTGCCGGCTACGGGGGTCAAACGGGAGCATCCGGCAGAGAGTCCTGCGGAAGTCGAGGATGAAGCTGCGAAGAGGCAGAAGACTCAGCCTAGCCCGCCAGCCTCACCGGATCAGGGCACCGAGCAGAAAGCAAGTCCAACGCAAGCACCAAGTCGAGGAAAGCAGATGCGAAGTGCAACCCACAATCAGAAGCCGGCCAAAAAGCCCCAGCAGAAGAAAGCGGCGGCAGGGACTCAGCCCATAACGAATTTCTTTCAGAAGTGATTGTTTTTTCTCATCTGGCTTGGCAGCAAAGTATATTTTGGCGTGGATTGGGTCGTCGGCAATTATGAGCTGGTCTCTGAGCGGCGTTGTTCCATTTTTCGAGTCTATTTTACAGATTGTGTCAACTGTCCAGCAGTTTTTGGATCAGTGCAGTCTTTGGAGACGGCAATGAGGACAGCAAGGGTCTATTGTACATGATCACTACCGACGGAAAATGATCCCGTCTCCTGCTGACGCAGCTTTTGCACCAGCTTTTCCCGCAGAAATGGGCTCAGCCCCAGACTGTTATACCCTGGTTAGTTTTGGGTCCAAAATGACGGTGCTTGCATGACTTACATTCCATCCCGAGTCACCACGCGATATGTCCCTGTCGGGTTCGTCAGCTTGGGTCGGTGAAGAGCTTTTTATATATCGGAATACATACCGCTCGACTGGTAGTTACCGTTCCCACCCACGAAGTTTCCTTCGCCGTCGACTTCCAAGCTCCCAAAGATATCTTCGGGCCTATGTTCATTCGATCAGTCGTTGGTTTACACCACAAGCCGGACACCATCCATACCAAGCTATACGGCCATACTCAGGTGGCCGTCGGTTATCCGAAAGATGAATCCAACCACCTCTACCAGCGGAGCCAGCGCCACCTTGGCCACTGGCTCCGCCGCTGGAATCGCCCTCGCTGCGGCGTTTCCTCGTACGTCCCCCGGTCAAAAGCACCCCGCCGGTGCTCAAATTAGCTCCTGACGTAGACACCATGACCTGCGCTTGCGATATAGCGTCGGGGTCTTTGTGGCCGTGCTCAGTCATGACATCTTGCAAAGTTTCCAGGAACTTAGGGTTCTCTTTGAATGAGTCTGGCGTCGGGGGTAGTTTAGATGAGACACCGATGGCCAGGTCGGGGTTGGTCGGCTCAGAAGGAAGCAAGGACAGTATGTTGGTGCCATTCTTGGGGAATACGTACTGTGAGAGGTTGTTAGCACGAAAGAGGAACAAGAGAAGCGAAATGGCTTCTATTGAAGCTCGCGACGCTGCGCCAGTGGTTCGAAGGATGCACTTACTATGTGAGGATTGCCTTCCAAGGTCGACACAGAACGAACCTGTGCCCACTGGGGCATTTGGCGCACTGAATTCCTAAGAGCGAACATGCTGAGGGAGGGAAAAGGAATCAAGGATGATTGATCCTAGTGGTATCTTTGGACATTGAGTCGAAACAATAAATGAAGCGCAAGCTTGTACCCCGGGGCCGATGACGATTGTAGAACAAACCAGACAAACTCATGTGATTGCGCGTTTTTGGGCGGGCTGGAAGCAGCAGCTCCGCCCGCATTCCAGAATGAATGACCTTGAAGGCAACTCGCTCAACTCACTTCCTTGTCCTTGTCAACTTAGCGGTTCTGTGGGGGATTTCTCTCCCTCCCTCTCTCTCTCTTTCCTTGCTTCCTAATTGATGATCTATTTTTGTCGAGTCATTTTCCTTGCAGATACTATTTAGGGTCGCTAAGGCCCGTTGCTTCTTTTCGTTACCGGTTGCATTCCCGCGTAAAGAACGACTTGAGTCCGTATGGCTCTGCCTTAGCAAGTGTGGTTCTATTCTCTTTTGTGATACCCGGATCCAAGTTTCGCACCTCTCAGCTTGTCTTCCCTTCTTGATCGCACCAAGTGCGGACTACGATTTCTGCTCCGGCCTTGACTTCTCAAGGGAACCACAGAGAGAGAGCCCGTCATGGCGACGCCATCGTCCAAGCCGAACCCAGGAGCAACACCGACCTACCTGACTTCCTCGCCTCGTCCAGCTGGCGCGCACCCAGCCCGCCCCATCGCGCACAAGTCACCCGCGGGGAGAACCCCCTCCGTCTCCGGACCGGGCGGTCACATCCAGCCCCCCAACAGCAGCAACCCCGCCAACGCCTCGGCGCACCACTATGCCACCCCGCTCGCGGCGACAACCGGGGCCGACGACCCCGTCACGCTGAGCTCGCCGTCGGCTCTGCTCGCGCTCGGCGGCTACAGCGGGATCAGCCCGTCGCCGGCCGGCCACGACGGCGGCCTGGTGGGCGCGGGGATGAACGACAGCGACATCCAGGCGCTGGGCATGCAGGGCCTGAAACTGGGCGGCGGGGGCGGCGTGCGGGACAACGAAGAGGAGCGGAAGAGACACATTGAGGATGTGGTGCAGCTGCTGCGGACGCGCATCGCGGGCCGCGGGGTCTGCCGCGAGGGCATTGAGCGCCTGGGCCAGCTCGAAGGGTTCGAGTCGATTTGGCAGGAGGACAGCCTCAGCATCGCCGGCAACTTTGTGGATCTCGAAATCGAGTTTCACCGCGGCCACAATGTCGTCAAGGAGGTGAGTTTGAGCTACGTGACGCCCGAGTCGACCGACGGGGAACAGCGCGAGGAGGCGACGGCCGTGCTGAAGCGCGACCTGATCCAGTCCCCCGCGGACGGCGAGCGGGGCGCGTGGAAGCCGCTGACCGGGTTCCATGAGAACCTGCAGTGGCTGGCGCGCCATGATAGACTCAGTCAGGAGGTCAACTGCTTTGAGGCGATCGAGGGCTTGTATGAGAGCTTGAAGCGCGTGTGGGAGGCGGAGTCGGATCAGCGCAAGTTCTTGGGCGTCTACGATCATCTCTGCAGTGGCTGGGTCGGTCGGCCGTCTCTGCACAAGGGGGGTCGCGTGGGGCTCGGCCTCGATTACTGGGTGCAGCAGGCGCGGGTCCTGGATGCGAAGCAAGCGAAGCAGAAATCCGTCTCCTCCGACGAGATGGTCGTCGATCAGCCGGCGGAGGAAGACGAGGCCGCGCGAAAGGGCAAGTGGAGCGTTGTGGTCGAGTGCGAGGAGGGATATCCATCTCTTCGCGTGTCGAAAGACTGGGTTGCCGCGGAGGTTCTGACAACAGTCCACAATGGCGAGAATGGTCCCTCCTCGAGTGAGTCGGCCGGGTCTTCCGAGGGAGTTGTGGTCAACTGGGCAGAGCCCCCCGAAACCGTGATTGCGGCCGCGCAAGGCCACTCGGACGCCATGGCGCTGGACTCGAACATGCTGGGCTCTTCTGCGCCCAACCGCCGGTTTGTGGCCAGGATGGAACCGCCGCTGGATCTCCCCATCTTGGCGGCGTCAGATATCTATCGCCATCTCGGCATGCAGTTGCCTCCGGAATTCAAGATGGTCACATACGATGGACTGTTGGCCCCTGGCTGGTCGCCATTATCGGCGGCTGGTGCAATGGGACTGGGACCGGAAGAAGCATCGCAGCTTGGTCGCAGAAGCCGTAGGCTGTCGTTGCAGACCATTGACAAAGATGGCAAGCCATGCAAGAAACAGCATTGCTACACGTTCCAGCCATTCGAATCAGTCGCAGGTCGGACCCTGAGAGACATTCCGTTCTCGCACCCAAGACAGCTTGCAGACATACTTCCGGTACGGATCCTGTGTTTTATTGTGCTTATTATGTGGGCATACTAATGATTTCTTCGTAAGATCCTACGACAGTACGCGTTCCTGGCGAATTTGATTCGTGGCATCTTCACTACTACGACCAAGCCCGACAACGACAAACTTCATGCACAGGAAGATCTTTACAAAGGGTTCTTCAATCTCTCGAATGCCAACAGATCGCAGACGATAACCAAGGGTGACATCATTATTCTCAGCAATGACGATCCCAACGAGAAGAGGTTGAACTCATTGCTTGGAGGGTTTGGACAAGCAGGAACTTTTGGACAAGCAGGTGCTCATACCATAGGCAAGGGGAAAGGTGCTATGGACGGAAGCTCTGACGATGATTCGACCACCGAGGATGACGTCAAAGTAGACGTGACCTTGCGCACGCAGCTTGGTCAAGCCCCGGTCATCATGCTCCTGTTCACTGTGGACAACCTTCAAGGGAAATCGACACTGGATCAAGAATATTCTGCGCTGAGCAAAGTCTCTGTCAGCCTTGAAGTCGGGCTCAACGGTCGCGTGTCCGTCATCGACATGACTGGTTTGTTTGATGATGAGAACACCAGTATGGATCCGATGGACACTCAAGCGAGCGGAGGCTATGACAATGAAGTATCCGAGTTGCAGAAGACCATCGCGAGGGTATTAGAAGTCTCGCAGGACTTGGGGATTCTGGTAGAGTGGGTTTTACGATGGGCCCGGCAGCGCAAGAGCCGCTGATAGCCTAACCCCCAGACCGGGGTAGGTCACGGATACGCTGCAACCACGGTGTGTGGGGAAGAATCGTCTTCAGATAGTGACCTGTCGATTGGCAATCGGACGAGGCGGTGACGTAACAGGGATGGCCATGCATTACCTGTCCTATCTCTCTCTCTCTTTGTGCATGAAGGCTTGAACAAGCTTTTCTGGCCATTCTGGAAGCAGCGTTTCACCCGGTTGCTCAGATCTAGTCCCAATGCAGTGTCTGCATGGGGCGTACGGGGGCCACCAGATCCCCATTTGGCGTCTTTGATCTGCACTGGACTGGGACTCGTCTGGTGCTATCTGAGCCTAGCCGGATGTGGAAGAGACGATGCTCAGCTCAGACCCCCGAGACTTCCTCAGTGGTTCCATGTGAGATCACAGAGCTGCATCACGTCATGTGCCATGAGATCGTGCAGCGTGGGGATTGCTCCCTCGGCCCTAGGGACCTGGACCAGCCGAGGACCAGGGGGATACGAGAGTCTCGAGCCGAACGATACCATGATTTGATATTTGCAAAATGGGCCGTCCGCTCCGGCGGAACATGATTGATTCATGGGCAATTGTACCTGCAGGACGTCGCTAGCTCTGCTCTAATATAAGACAGGGTCTTACTTCCATGATACTACATACTATGTAAGCTGGAATAGTTACCCAGTCACCAAACCCAGGCACGCGCAACATTTCTGAAGTAATCGAGTAAGAAGCCAGAAAAACCGGCCGTGACCGAACCATGACCCCCAAACTTCTGCCCTGTGTTTGAAGGATTGAAGACCCTGAGTCGGATGTTCCGTCCCTGAAAAGACGGCAGGACCCAATAACGGGGCAGGCTGTGCGGAGTATGGGAGTAAGGCAAGGAGAGGAAGGATAACTTACCTACCCAGCGGTGATCTGATCTGATACCTCAGTATTTCCACGCAAGTTCTGCAGAGTTGTCGACTGAAGTGTGAATCACACCCATCTGCCAGAAGCCGATCAGTTCTGACCCTGTAGATCAGGCCAACACTCTTTACCGGGCCGCAAGTTATAGTGTCTGAAATGGGGCAGGTAGTAAGTAAGTATGAGGGATTTTCCCCCGTTCCCGTTTTCCCGCCCATCATTCCTCCTCCTCCCCGGACTTTGACCTCCCCCAACAAGACGCAAGGGGAGAAATAGAAATGGAAATGGCAACGGAAATAAAAATGCAAGAACTTTAGGATGTGTTTTGAGTTCAAGGTTTTACCAGAGCTGTTTTGCGTCTGGAGGTGTTGGTTGGTCGCCGCCGGGTCATTTTCTCCCGCGCGCAAAACACCGTCTCAGTTACTAGCTACCTAGGTTACCGGTAAGAAGCATGAGCTGTCAAACGATTCTTTCCCTTTTCCATTTTCCCTTTTCCCCTTTCCCCCTTTGTATGATGGCCCCGAAGAATGCGGGAATTTTTCTTTCCTGTGATTCTCTATAACTTTGGAAAACTTTTTGGGCAGTTTGAGGAAATTACAGAGTCCGGTATGCAGGTGTCAAAACCTTGGAGGGGGATTGTGATTCGGATCAACTGCGCGAATTACTCTCCTTGACTTGCTTGCTTGCTTGCACTGTCCAGTAGTTACAGGAAGTGTTCATTCCTGTAGCGTTCTCCGTAGTTTGAAGTTAGTAAGTTAGTCGAATGAGTCTAAATGGGGGCCTCGTCTGCGTAGACTACAGCTAGCAGCTAGCTGCCTAACTATGGAGCTTTTTTTTCGGTTGTGGTTGTTTTGGCCTGAATTTGTTTTGGATACTGGGTCTACCTTACATACATTGTCTGGCTCTAGAGGGAGAGGTATTTTTGAAATGGGGATTGAATAGGGCTGCTGCTGCTGCTGCTGCTGCTGCTGGTTCTGGTGTTTCAGTTTGGTTTTGGAAGTTTGCATCGTCTTTTACTTTGTATAGGGTATGGATTTAGGATTGAGTGTTTGTTTTGCTTACTCGGATTCATTCTTCAGGTGTAAGCTCGGTGGGAGTAACTTAATTATCTGATGATTATCTAGGGTATTATATCGCAAAGCATGTTTATAACTTATATAACAGATACCAAGATGATTTTGTACCAATAACTCTGCGCGTTCATGGACAACAGTGCTGTAGTTCGCTTGCTCGCTCACGTCTCGCGTCTCGCGTCGGCTGAATGAGTCACAACCACAACAGCGGTTGGAAAAAACCAAAACCAAAATCTAATACTCAGGACAAGCAAATCGGCACAGAAGTAGATCATTCCTGTTCCTGTTCCTGTTCCTATCTCCCGTATACTGCCTTCAACCCGGATCAAAGTGGAGAGGGGGACGGAAATCGAATATGGTCTGTCTGGTCTATCAGGATGGGAGCTGTCATTTCAGTAGTACCATGTACCCTCCATGTACACACGGTTAGAATACTTCGGGTCAGGCATTGTGGAGGTTCTTGTTCGTTCGTTAGTTCTTCAGGGAGGGAAGAGATGTGGCTGTTCAATTTTACTCTGTACAGGAATTGAGATTGGGTGGTTGGAAGGGTTGTTGGGTTGTTGAGGATAGGATATAGATCTCCGACGCGTCTTGCAGACGGAGTACCCATACATAGGGATTGCAAATTCTATACGGAGTAGACGTATGTTATCCATACAGGGTATGTTTCAACCTGCAGCGTCTGCGTCGCAGCTTACTACTCTCTAGTATGCATGTCATCCCACACCCGCTATACAGTCCGACATCTAGAACCTCAACCGACCACTGACTACCCAACCTTCAACCACCATCATCGTGTCTCGTATGTGTTGAGCTATTTTGCAAATTCTCCGATTCCCAAAACCACATCCCTGTAAACCTGACCAACTGCAATATACTTAGTACTATGCTAATTCCTTCCACTATCAAAGGGATATCAGGTGTTCTTTGTTCTTTGTTCCCCCCCCCCCCCGTCTGGATCCATAATGAGATCCACCAGCCAAATTAGTCCTTACCCGACGGCCGGCCCGGCCATCGCACAATCAACCATCTGTAGCTCCTATCAACTTCTGCTGTACCCGCCACACGGGCTCGATTTTCTTCAGCCAAATTCGCAGAGGTTTCTCTCCTTCGCACGCAGTGAGCGAGCGCAATTCGATCCTTGCTGAGTCCCTCAGAAAGCGACTCTCTACCCCCTCTGCCTGCACAGGCTGAAATCGGCCCGACACCAGTCAGCAGCGTTTGTCATGACCTGGGGCAGGGAGCCAATCGGCAGTGGACGATAAGAGGAGACAAGGCAGCGGAGAAGGTGATTGATCAGGAGGCGGGGATCTACAGCTGGTCCCATGGCTGTGGCCATGTTTCCGATAAGCTGATTGTCTGTGGCTTTGGGCCCGGTGAGGGATTATTTCCCCATTTGTTTCCAGATGCTGCACTCGTCGCTTGAAAGGGCGCATCTCCACGACTCCACCCTTTGCTGGAAATTGACGCCATGGCTCGAGAATCCGGGTTGATTCGTGCCTGACCGCGACTACTGCTCGTTTTTGTTGGCAGTCAAATTTGCAATCCTGGATGTGTTGGTTCATTATTCATTGATCACGATAGTCCGAGTTGAGACAGGAATGGTGTAACTGTGTACGGAGTACGGTTGCTCGTACTGCTAAGCCTCAGTTTCTGGAGCCTGCGCCACAATCAGGAGTCGCGATTTGAAACCTCTGGACATCTATTCCTGGCTTTGACCGCCTCCGCAGACGATACGGGAGCCTGTTTATAGAAACATTGTCTCGCCTTGGGCGATGCGACTATTGCCGCCATTGCGTGGAATTAAGCTATGATGCGCTGGATGAGTTGCCCATGACATCTGAGCGATCAGAAGGACGAGGCTCTCTCGTCGGGTGGAGGCCTGGAAGCACCTTGACGACATCCACAGGGCTGATCGAGGAGAACAGGAAAGGCAGCCACTCATTCTTGCCCGGATTCCTGAATCTCCCGGCTTAGCCCTGTTGCCATTTGTCGCAGAATACCCTGGGGAAGGGCAAGCCATAATGATGACGCTGATGCAGCGGGAGCCCCTCCCTTTGATCGGACACTAAAAGACTTGATGAGGGTCGCCACTAAGTAGTTACAGCACACAACTGTACTCCCCTAGAGAAGCAAAAGTCTGGGGGATAGACAGGGATAGCTGGATGGATAAGGGCTTCTTCCCTCCGGAACCACCCATCTGCCATTCACCAAGAACTCTTCTCCCAAGCGCGGTCACCCCATTCACCCGTCCATTCTTCCCTTCCCCCCTTTGACTTTACCCCCGTTGCCGGTGCAAGGAACCTTTTTCCCCTTTTCTTCGCCGTCCTGCACCCAAGGCGGTGGCAGGGAACGGCAGTGACTCGGCTGATTGTTCATATTAGTCACCCGAACCCAGAAATAACTGCCGTTAACATGGAAACATGGCCGGTCTCGGGGGGTGACGACGGTGATGGTGACGCTTTCTTCGAGAATGGTTTTGCCACGCCCCACCGGACGCAAAATCTGGGTTGCCCGCGTGGTATTCGAATTACCGGCTGTCTGTACGGGCAGGCAATTCATTCCCCGGGGTAATAGCTGTCAACGAGGATAGGTAGACGTTGGATCCTCAATTCCCTCCCCAAAGGTTTTCCACCACCATGTATGGGGTGGGAGATTGGATTCGATCTGTGCGCGCTGCTCCCGACACGCTACACGGAAAAATCGAGACTTGACGCGGTCGAATTCCATCCATGCGCGATTAAAATGAAAACTCTTTTTTTCCCCCCATTCAGTCCGGCAGGCGCGCCAGGATCCACCCACGCGACTCATGGCGGGGTTTCGAGGGGCAGTCAGCGATAAGACATCCCTCTCAATTTAGATAACCGCAAGGTGCAGTTTGACCAGTACGTATTGGGGTATCTTGTGCGGCGGTAACATCCTGGTACGGATTCCTGTGATATCAAAATCGCTGCCTCGGTTTCCCTTCTTTGGTAGATTGAAGAAGAGTATGATCACTTTGATCCCAGCTCCTCGATGAAAATATGGTCTCACTCCAGCCACATGTATCGTTTGCGATAAGGCAACGGAAGATAGGATGCGGCAACCTGAGTGTCCTCTCAGGTGCTTCCTATCAAAGTATCAACTCTATCCTATCCATGCCATGGCTCTCTGCCAATAATAACCCCGGTCATTGCGATTAGGCGCAGGTCACGCCCGAGCTATTTGGGTCCTGCAGCTGATATGCATGGGGACTGACGTTTACTTGATATTGATAATGGGGTTTAGCAACCGTTTCGTGTTGCTATCTTTCAGCCACCAGGGATAGGAAGGTTAGCAAAAAGAAGGCAGACAAAGAGTTGACAATGTCACAGCCGTGATGATGGAGGGGGAGGGAAAGGAAGTCAAGAAATAACCACTGGTCAGCCGACATGGAAAGAGGTGCGGCCTGCCAATTATCAGGTCTGATAGTACTTTCGGTGTTTCTGTGCTTGTGTGCTTCTTGTCTGTCTGATAGGGATGGATGGATCCAGGTCTGAACCCAGATCACCACCGCGTGGGGGGCCCAGCATCGAAGATGATCCATCTGGGGAAGCCCAACCGTTTCCGGCCGCCAGTGGAATGAGGATATGGTGACTACCGGTAGGTAACTTTGTAGATACTAGCCTGACCTGGTCTATCATTATCATCAAAAGGACTTACCTATCAGAAAGCAAGAAGATAGGATTACATTGCGAGGAAGATACCTACGGAGTATAGTAGTAGTGTGGGAGGTTAGATTAATGGCGTGTGACAGGCAATTCCTCCCTTTCGATAGCTTTCAATTGCGCATCGAGATTACCCGTTCGGGTAATATCCGTGCTGGACTGACTGACCGCTGCATCCTAACAGTAACTTTAGTTCGAAAAGTCTATCAAACGGCGAGTCGCAATTGCCTACGAGCACTACTAGTGAATGGCAGTCATGGTTATTTTACAAAACCTTTAACGATGATGGGCTGACTGACATCCATGACTACGACGACTGCCAGCGTAGGTAATCTTGACATCGTGACATCGGAAAGAGTGAGTGGTCGAGGCTGGCCCATTGATAGAATGCGGGCGCAGTTCTGGTGGCGTCCCCGAGCCCTGGTCAATCCTGCAGCCTTGGTTGCAGTATGCTGTTAAAGATGTGTTCCATCTCTAAAGCTGTTGAATCTGTAGGACTGATTACAGAAATGAAAGAAAAGAGTAGGGGCAAACATTCTAGAGAAAGTAAGAAAGACAGACAATTCCTTATTGATGCGCATCTCCAGTTGCAAGAGTTGCAAGAGTTGCAAGAGTTGCAAGTGTTGCAAGTGCGAGAAAGAGCATCGTGAATGGTGTGATAAATTACCAGGTCCCAAGACCGTGCCCAACCGGAACGGTAATTTTCAGTACAGCCAGGTTTATTTTTGAACTTTTTCTTCCCAGAATGGAAGTGGAAGTGGGTGGGACTGGGTCTTTTTTGGGAATGGATTTTTTGCCTCTCTCTCTCTCTCTCTCTCTCTCTCACTTCCACTCTTTGCCGGTGGCCCCAGGCCCGGCCGACCATAGGTTTTGATTGAATGAATCAATGAAATGATTAAATCGGTTTAGAAATTCAGAAATTCAGAAATTCAGAACATGGGAAAAAAAGACGCGCCCGCCGCCTTTTCTCCCTCCTTCCCGAAAGAAAAACCTATTCTCTTAAATTTAAAGGATATCCTCCCCCCACCCAAACTCCCGTTGTGACTTACTTTCTCCATTCTCATCCCATCATCTCCTCTCCGCCATACTTTATCATCTCTCCCTCCCTCCCCCATCCTTTACTCTCTCTCTCTATTTTCAAGAGCAACGTTTGATCCTTCCGCCGCTCTCGCTATAAATCGCACTACATCAATCTTTTGATTGTCCTGTTTGTGTCGTTCGACTGTGATCTGAACAACCCAAGTCTACGAGCTTCGCACCTGCAAGCTTAATCGCTAAAAAGCATCCTTTTGTTTTCTATCTTTCACACACAACCACATACATATTCACAATGGTACGCATCTCTTAAGTTGGTTTGGCAACTGCCCCGGTCATTCTTTGTCCGAATGCATGCTCTGCAGCGACAAGAACTGCGCGCTGACTCATACTCTCTCCCACCGCAGGCTGAATCAACCACCATCTCCAACACGGAGAATGTGCGTTCTTGTCTCATTGCTACCTTGCAAGATGTTTCTTGAATCGCATTGCGGTTTTAAGGAAATCTTATACTGACTGATGCGCTGGCAACAGCTCATGAAGTACATGTCCCTCGACCAGCGGGGTAACGTCCAGGCTGAGTACATCTGGATCGATGCCACCGGTGGCACTCGTTCCAAGACCAGGGTACGCCTCCCCTTTTTCTCATATCCCTTCACTCTTGCCTTTGCAGGTGGCGCAGCGTGTGGGTTGGATCGCGCGGGATGCGGAGAGAATGGCTGCTGTTATCTAGAGGGATGGAGGGATTCCTGCTCCCGATAAGCCCTGCGCACGGGGATTCGACCCTGCACGCCCGCCCTGCAATCCACCTGCAGTAGTCTCACGTGATCCATCGACTCATCCACGGAATTATGACTAATCATTACATCTTCCCCCACAGACTCTGTCCAAGTCCCCCAAGTCCGTTGATGAACTGCCTGAATGGAACTTCGACGGCTCCTCCACCGGCCAGGCCCCCGGTGACAACTCCGATGTCTACCTCCGCCCCGTCGCTATCTACCCGGACCCCTTCCGTCTCGGTGACAACATCCTCGTCCTCTGCGAGACCTGGGACTCCGATGGAACCCCCAACAAGTTCAATCACCGCCACGAGGCTGCCCGTCTGATGGAGGCCAACGCCAAGGAGGAGTTCTGGTTCGGTCTGGAACAGGAGTACACCCTCCTCGGTACCGATGGCTGGCCCTATGGCTGGCCCAAGGGTGGTTTCCCCGGTGCCCAGGGCCCCTACTACTGTGGTGTCGGTACCGGCAAGGTCTACTGCCGTGACATCGTCGAGGCTCACTACCGTGCATGCTTGTACGCTGGTATCAAGATCTCCGGTATCAACGCCGAGGTCATGCCTTCTCAATGGGAGTACCAGGTCGGCCCTTGCCAGGGTATTGACAGTGAGTATTCCGTCCTGCTACAGTCGCGATCATCACGTACTAATCTTGCTCGCAGTGGGTGACGAGCTCTGGATGTCCCGCTTCCTCCTCCACCGTGTCGCTGAAGAGTTCGGCGTCAGAATCTCCTTCGAGCCCAAGCCCATCAAGGGTGAATGGAACGGAGCCGGTCTCCACACCAACGTCTCGACCGCCTCCACTCGTGCTGACGGTGGCATGAAGGCTATTGAGTCCTACATGAAGAAGCTCGAGGCCCGCCACGTTGAGCACATTGCCGTTTACGGTGAGGGTAACGAGGAGCGCCTGACTGGTCGTCACGAGACCGGCAGCATCGACAAGTTCAGCTACGGTGTTGCCGACCGTGGTGGCTCCATCCGTATCCCCCGCCAGGTCGCCAAGGACGGCAAGGGTTACTTCGAGGACCGCCGTCCCGCCAGTAACGCCTGCCCCTACCAAATTACTGGTATCATCGTGGAGACCCTTTGCGGTGGCAACTAAGTGCGTCTAGCACATTTACTCCAAATGTGAAAAACATTTCATCTTAGCGCTCGTATACCCTCCGGCGTCGACATGGAGTCAGATTGCGATGCAGCCTGGTCATGGGAGAGCAAACTATAGAATTTCTCTTCTTCTTCTCTCTTCATGATGGTACTTCGGAGTTTCTCTCGAACTCTCTCTCGTGTGCCAGCGCCTGTTGATGCATTCGTTGTCCTGTTGCTGGTCTTGCATGTTTCTTTCTTACCTTGGGTTATGTGTTACGTATGGCATAGAGGACTGATACTCGGAGGAGAACCGACGACGGTCTTTTTGAAATTGAAACTGGGGATGAAACTGGAAGGATCAAATAGCTTTAGGGCCGGAACCACGGTCAGTATTATAGTGTTCAAATAATCAATCGTTACGAATAAGCACATCCTCAGGATGTGAACATGTCAAATCTTCTTTGCCCTTGGGCCTACTTGCGCCTAGACTATATAGACTGTTTTCGGTGCAATCTCAACATTTGCAATAAAATACTAAAAATTAGATACAATGATTTATAAGTTATATCTAGGTTCACATCTCGGCGGTCCATACGATTCCCGTCCAGCCATCCATGTGAGTGCCTTACGAGGCTCGATGTCTGAACATCTTTCTTTTGTATGCCCAAGGCCCATGCAACAGCCATCACCATAAACACCATCATCATCATCCGCATCTTCAACCACCCCGCTTAAAGACCTTGAACAACCCGGCCCCCAACCCATCCAGACCCCTCTGCCTGGCCTCGCGCCTGGCCGCCCCATCCGCAGCGACCGCCGCACCACCGCCTTCCTTATCCCCATTCTTCTTCCCATCCACGACGCGCAGCAGCACCTCCATGGTGACAGCCGCCAGGATACTGGCGCACAGGATACCGACCATGACGAGGTTACTCTTGCGGTACTTGGCGCGGCCGGGGGCCTCGTAGTCGCTCTTCCAGCCCGAATACAGGGCGTAGGTGGTCATGATGCTGCCCAGATTGCCGAGCCCGGAGACGACGGCGGAGGCGGCGGCGACGCCGACCTCGCCGTGGCGCGGCTGGAAGATCTCCGTCGTCCAGGTCATGGTGATGGGCACGGTGGGGCCCAGGCCGAAGCCCACGATCAGCAGCCCCCCGTACCGGGGCCAGGAGTTGGTCGCCGTGCCGGCGTAGGTGGTCAGCAGGAGGCCTAGGATCTGTAGGAGGACTGGGACGGAGAAGAAGAGGGAGCGGTGGCGGTGGAAGCGGTCGCTGATCGGGGTGACGAGGAGGATGGCGATTAGGTCCATCTTTTTGAGGGGGGTTAGTTTGGGGTGTTATGGGGATGCGGATTTGGGGATGGGGGAGCATACAATCCAGATCGGCGCAGTCAGGAGACTGAGATCAATCCCGTTCAGCGAAGGGTTGATGCTCTGGATGATGACCGTGGCGTAACTCTGCGTGCCGATGCCCACGCCCACGACGCCAAAGTACATGATCAGCAGCGGCCACAGGCGCCAGTCCAGGAACACGTTCAGCAGGTCCTTCCACGTCCACTGTGCGCGGTGGTACACGCGCTTGAGGTCGTGGTAGTGGATCTCCGCGTCGCGGCCGCTCAACGCCGGCGGGCTGCGCGGGAACCACCACAGGTACTTCCGCTTCTTGGGCTCCGCGCCGGGCGCGAGCGGCCGGTCCGGCAGCCACCACAGGAGTAAAAAGCCGACCGCGGTGGTGATCACCCCGTAGACCAGGAACATCCATTGGAACCCGACCAGGCCGCGCTCGCCGTCCATCTTCTGGAACCCGGCCGAGACCAGGCCGACGACGGCGGCGGAGACCTGGGCGGCCGTGTAGTACTGGCCGATGCGTTTGCCGGTGCGGGAGGGAGGGTAGAACAGGGTGAGGTAGTAGGTCATGCCGGGCCACATGCCCGCGATGACAATTCCCAGGAGCAGACGGAGGAGGCTGAATTACCAATATGATTAGTGACTGGTTGGGGCTAGGGACCAGGCAGAGAGCGGGGCATGAACCACATACTATAAACTCCAGGCGGCCTTCATAGCCGTCATGCAGCTCCCGATAATCCCCACACTGATGACAATCCGACTCATCCAGACATGGGGACTCAGACGGGTCATGATCAGGTTGGAGGGCAAGTCGAAGATCACATAGCAGACGTAGAACAGTGCGAGAGCGGTGGAGATCTGGTGTGGCGTCATGTTCAGCACCGAGCCCAGATCATGCCCCGAGCTCTCGTTCATGGTTTGCGCGAGGCCGACATTGGAGCGCACCGCCGCGCAGAGGAAGTAGAGCACCCAGAATGCGGGAATGATGCGGAAGTCGAGCTTCCTGCAAGGGGTTCGATTTGAGTTAGCATGTCATGTCATGTTATGTCAGACGATGCAGGATAGCAAACACACTAGTACAACTAGTTCGACGAGCTACTCAACTCACCTATAGATGCGCTCGACCTCGGCAAGGTCAGCCTCGGACTCGGGCTCACTGCCCGTCTCCAGATCATTTTCACCCTCCCGACTGTCGAGCGATCGTTCGTGAATGCTCTCTGTGTTGGGTTGTTTGGTCACCCCGTGGGGGTGGTCGGGGTTGGACTCTGCGAGGGACATCGTGGCGGAGGGGGCCACTTTGGGACGGTTGATCCTTGTTGAGGACCAGGGAATCGAAGCAGTAGTGGCGCGCGGTCGACGCCACTAGTAAGGATGCTTATTCTAAACTACACGTGCAAGGATAAGATTGTTTGTCGGCGGTAGAGGTGATGAGGAATTCAGATAGAAAGAGATGGTGGTTTGGTCTTGGCCACGAGGGGAGAAAGAGGTGGGAACCCCGCACTTTTTATCCTCGGGGTCGGGGGAGCGATAGCAGACAGAGATCGGGGTGTCCGGTGAGAAGATGGCAGTGATCAGCCCTGGAATGGAGTCGGAGATGGTCAGTTCTTGGTCTGTCTGAAGGCTACTGTGATTGGGTTTGGCAAAGGAGGGGAGGGAGGAGATGCAGCTCGAGCACGAATAAACTTGCGATAACGCTGGGAATGTAGTGGGGAGGCGCAGACAACGTACCTGCAGTGCGACGGTCATGATGACAAAAAAGAGGCGAGGCAAACGCTTTTAATTAAAGCAAGGGGAGAAAGGGGAAGATGATAACACCTGCAGGAGACACAGAAAAGAAAAAAGCTTGGTGAAAGCCGAGGAAAAAGCAAAAAGGCAGGCGAAAAGTCAATGGAATTTGCATGTATCATTAATTGATTAATTGATTAATTGATTGATTGATTGATAAAAGTGTGTACTTCCGTAAAAGGATAAAAGAGGGACCTGCCGGAGGAACCATTGGCCCGGTCGGTTCCAGACCCTCTTCGATGCTGTGTGCTTCTCTACTTCTTACTCTTGAATTACTCCCTGTTAAGTTCTACCTGGTAACTGCTCTAAACAGTAGGTCTCACAGACAACTTGGAACCTTGAAACCTACGTGACAACTCTGCTCAATGTATTCCCCGGAAGAAAGCATTGCCAGTTTTCTTCCTTTGGCCCTCGGACGGGTAGAAACGGGGCTGTTGGTTGGCTTCAGCTTCTTTCCTCAACTGCTGCTCCCGAACGTTCTAGTTCAACGTTAATTCAACCTCAGTGACTCACTCCGTCGACCTGCAGAAACATCCGATACCGGAAGGAAACCAGCCGTGGATGAAGAGAATAGGGATCTTCATCCATCTGTTCATAGACACTTTGCACGGCGACAATCGGTGACTCAATCCATCAGACCGGTGTGAACTCCCCCTCTTTTTCTTGTTGCCATCAGCCATGGCGGTTCCCCCTTGTTGAGTGCGACACATGCGATCGAGGCCCACCACGGAGGTCCCAACACCCACCCCCACCGCTTCCATGTCTCAACTGCCGGACAAGAAACGTTCTATTTGAATGGGATCGAGTCAGCCTCTCACACTCAACAAAATAGAGCTTCAACGATGAGATTTGGCTGTGCAGGCATATGTGTAAATGATCATTCTGCTTTGCAGCCGGGACCTTCCCGACATCAGCAACATCCTTGCCACACAAGTCTTCTATGCTTCTATGTAGTCGGCGCATAGATTCTCAGTGACAGTTGTAAAACAATGCCTGGTCCTAGACCTTCGTTTATGATGAATCGGAGAACATTGAGATGACCGAGGGAGTGGTGAGAAGTGGCATAACTGGCAACGGTGACTGACTGGTAGTGTACACTCTCGACCATTTGTTTCTCACAGTTCCTGGCTAATAAAGTGTCATTAATGAGAGTAGAGATAGATACTCACAAAGTGTAAGCCCCAGTTTGGAAAAGATCAGCAAGCCTTGACAGGCGCTTAGTTCAATTCCTTATTGCCGGGGTCCGCCATCTTTTGAAATTGCTCAGTGTATGGCGGACTTGCATGATTGGCCACTGCAAGAGTATTCTTCCACCTGGCAGTCAGATTGGGAGCCCTCGTTAACGAGTACTTGCCGCAGCGACGAGAAACGTGATGATGTTGCTACGCGAGCAGTGAAAATCTCGACGCTGCTCTCCACAAAAGAGTCAGCTGCAATTTGGCTTGAGATCCTCGGAAGTTTAGGTTGGAATCGTGCATAAGACGGTTGCATATGACATGTGGCAGCCATCCTGGTCCGAAGGCCATGCCAAGGTGCCGGTTGCGCTCACTGGAATACTAGGGACTGGCCACTACCAGTCTGCGTTGGCCTGTAGCTTGAGAGTACTTGCACTCACGTGAAAGTGTCAGGCACTATGCGAGGGCGTCTTGACAACATGTGACACGCACTGCCTGATGAGGAAGAACTACAAAATGTACGCGAAATACCAATCGTCTGGCAAGGAACAAGGCCCGGGCCATCTTCATTCAAGCACCACGTCTAGTCGTATAGAATCGTCCATCAGGGGTATAATCATAAACGTCAATCGGGCGCCAAGGCCCCAACGCAGAAGAAAAGCAAATCAAATCGTGCAGTCGTCAAGGCGCGTCGAAGCATAACAAGCAAACATGATCGGAGCGATCCGCGCAGATCCGATGGCCGACCATTCTAGATCTTCTCGGTGCTAGCCACATCATCGCTATCCTTATCTGCGTCCTTAATGGAGTGATTCAGCACGCTCGTGCGACGCACCGCATCATCCTCCTCGTCGTCTAGCGTCCGCAGCAGCTCACCGCGGGGGCCGTACATGTGAGGCTCCTCGTTGGCAACCTTCACTACTTGGAAGATACTCTTGGTCTTCCGGAATATGCGGTCCATCTCTTCAAGCGACCGGCACGCAGTCTCAGGGTAGAAGAAGAGCACCACGGGGAAGATGAATGCGTTACTAATCACGAGTCAGTCATTTCGGCGGCCTCGACGCATG